GGGGGGCGGGGGACAGGACGCAGGAAGGCGGCCTGGTAGCGGGGAAAACACTCGGGACCCGCAGGGGCTTGTGGGTAGCGGCCCCGCACCCCTTTAGGGCCCACTCGCTCACACTCACCCACCGCGCGGCACCCTCCTCGGCCTGACGTTAGTCTCGGGCCTCGCGGCGGCCTCTCAACAACAAAAACTCCCACTCTGGCCTCCACTCCGGCAGCGTCCGCGTCAGCCGTCCTCAGCGGTCCACGCGATGCCGGCAAACCAGGCCGCTCCTCAGGAACCCGCGCGGCCTCAGCTCACGACAGGACCAGGGGGTGGGGCCCGGACACAGATCCTTCCGCGTGTGCGGCTCGCATGCGCGGCAGGAGACAAAAGGCGGCTCCACAGCCGACCCGGCTCTCTCGCGAGCAGCACGCAGGCGTAGGGCTGAGGCTCCGCCTCCCGTGAGCAGGACGCATGCGCAGAACTGAGACACCACCACCCCCACCCCCCACCCCACCCCTTTCCGAAGCCTTAATAGCCTAGACCGCGGTCTACACTGTTCAGGAGCGCTGAAGACCAAGCGTCTGCCTCCACCTCGCGCTCTAGTGTCCAACCGCCAGTAACAGCGAGACCGCGAGGCTCCGCCCCTTTTTCTCCGCTTGGTTCCCGGACCCTTTGTGCATGCGTAGTGTAGTTGTACTGTATCCTTCCGCCGCTGTCAAAGAGTTCCTTTGTGAATAGCGTCTTTGAATTTCAATTTAATGGGACAGTCCTCCAGCTCCTCTGCGAATTAGCCATTATTTGGGCTCTGGGTGCACAGCACGGGACAAAATAGGCTTTTTTTGGAACTTCGCATTGCTGCTGAAGGAGGGTAAAGTTGTCTGGTGGCTTTTTCTTTCTTTTGGTTTTGTGTGTTTTCTTATTTTTCCTTTTTATTCCCCCCCAGGCAAAGCTTCACTACATAGCCCAAGCTGACCTTGCATTTGTCTCTTTATTTTTCAGTGGAACAGGGTCTTCTCTTCACCTCCGTCGTGTCGGGATGACAGGTGCCCAGATTTTGTGTTGATTTTTTTTTGGGGGGGGGTCTTATTGAGACAGGGTCTCCCTGTAGCCCCAGCTGGCCTGGAACTCGCTATGTAGACCAAGCTGGCCTTGAACTCACAGAGATCCGCCTGCCTCTGCCTCCTGAGTGCCGGAATTAAAGGCCTGCACCAGCACTCCCAGCTTGTTTTAATTTTTTAAAAAATATTTTTTATTTTATGTGTATGAATGTATTGCCTGCATATGTGTAAGTACACCTGTGTTGTGCAATGCCAGAGGAGGACAGAAGAGGGCGTTAGACCCCCCCCCACTGAAGTTACAGACGTGGGTGCTGGGATTCGAACCCAGGTCCTCTGCAAGAACAGCCAGGGCTTTTAACCGCTGAGCCTTCTTTGAATTTTGTTTTGAGGTGGGATTTGTGAGACAGGGTCTCACTATGTAGCCCTGGGTGGCCTGGAACTCAAAGAGATCTGCCTGCCTCTCTAATGCTAGCACTGTTTAGGTTTTATGTGGGTGCTGGGGACTGCACCCAGCTACTCATGTTTGTGCAGCAAGCACTTATAACCAGAAATCTCCCTAACCCCTCTGTTTGTTTTGAGACAGTGCCTCTGTGTAGTCCAGGCTGGGCTTGAAGTGGAAGCCCTCCTGTCTCCACCTCCCTTGTGCTAGATTATAACTGTGCACCACCAGACTCACTATAAAATTAGTAATTTGAATTTTGCAACAATTTCTGTATCGTTCAGCTGATAGTGAAATCTACACAGACTTAAACTACAAGCTGGGCATGATGACCCTTCTGTAATCTTGGCAGTCAGAAAGGTAAGGCAGAAGAATTGCCAAGAATTCTAAGTCGATTTGAGAGAAAGCTTGCCTAGAATGTAGGAAGCCCTGGGTTCGATCCCAAGCACCACATAAACTGGGCAGTTGTAAGGCCAGGCATGGTGGCTCACAACCACCTGTAACTCCAGTTTCGGGGGATTTGACACTCACTTGTCTGCATGCATGTGGTGCATACAAACTCATGCAGGCAAACATACATACCTGTAATAATTTTTTAAACTACATTTGGGGCTGGAGAGATGGCTTAGCAGTTAAGAGCACTGGATACTCTTGTAGAAGTCTGGGGTTCGAATCCCAGCACTCACTTGGCAGCTAATGACCATCTGTAACTCCAGTTCCAGGGGATCCAACACCTTCTTCTGTCCTCTGCTGTATGTTTATATATATGTAGTAAATACATTCATACACATAAAATAACTTAAAATTTTTTTTATTTTTATGTGTACAAGTGTATTGCCTGCATGTATGTGAGTACACCCGTGTCGTGCAATGCCTCGGAGGTCAGAAGAGGGCTTCTGAGTTCCCTGGAACTGGAGTTAAGGTTCGTAGCCACCATGTGGGTGCTGGGAATCAAACCTGGGTCCTCTGCAAGAGCAGTCAGTGCTCTTAACTGCTGAGCCATCTCTACAGCCCAATAAATCTTTAAAAAGTAAATAAATAAAAAATTACATTTGCCAGGCGTGGTGGTGTATACCTTTAATCCCAGTGCTGTAGAGGTGGAGACAGGATCCCTGGGTGACCAGTGTGACTCCAGGTTTAGGGAGAAATTCTGTGTGGAGAGTGACTGAAACAGAAAGCTGCTGTTGACCTCTGGCCTCCAAACCACATAGGAACACATACATGCATACATACATACATACATACATACATACATACATAGAAGGAAACGCATACACACATAAAAATATTAAAAATTGGAGGGCCAGGCATGGTGGTGTACTTTAATCCCAAGCACTCAGGACACAGAGGCCAATCAGTGCTACATAGTGAGACCCTGTCTCAAAATAAGATATATATATATATATAGAGAGAGAGAGAGAGAGAGAGATATACATATATATACATATATATGTGTGTGTATATTAAAAATTAGACTGGAGAGATGCCTCAGTGGTTAAGAGAAATGACCTCTCTTGCACAGGATGGGGGTTCTATTCCCAGCACCCATTTATTGACTAACAACCATCTTTAACTCCAGTTCCAGGAGATCTGATGCCCTCTTCTGACCTCTGTAAGCATTGCATGCTTGTGGTGCAGTTAGATACATGCAGACAAAACACACATACACATAAAATAAAAAATAAGCAAACTAAAAGTTTTTTTAAATGAGATGAGGGGTCTGCCTGATGGCTCACCCAGTAAGGCACTTGCTGCAAAGCCTGATCACCTGAGTTTGATCTCAAGAATCCACATAGAGAAAAGGAAAGAAATGACTCCTCCAACATGTCATCTGATTTCCACATAAACAATGTGATGTGAACAACTATACACACGCATGCGTGTGCATGTGCACGCACACAAATGTTTAAATATTTAAACCAAATAAAATCATATATATTATATATAATATATTTATATAATATATATTATATATAATATATTTATATAATATATATTATATATGTGGAAAAACCCTATTGCTGAGGACACTGCATGATGTGAGCACGGAAGAAGGAGAAATCAAGCTTGGACTAAGCAGGAAACTCCCTGCCACTGGATGGGTGGCTTTCATCGTGCCAAAAGGCACCATGCAGATGACTGGGGGAGAACAGTCCCCTATAATTCTCCTCAATGACAGACCCCATGTGTTGCAGTACCAACATACCAAACAAGATGTTCCTGCTGGTGCAATAGTGGACAGTCTAGTGTATGTACAACCAGCAAATATTCGATTGGATATAATGCCTGCTTCTAGAGATAGAACACACATCTTGTACTCTAGACCTGGCCAACCCCCTGTGGCAGGGGAGAATACAGGCCCCAGTGGGAAGTCACTGTAATTGCTTTGTTAGATGGAAATGATGCACCTGCTAAAGCACCAACCAAGCTTTGTGTTTATACCATAGGTTATTACAGCAGCCACTGTTTAGATGCTCTTGCTTCTTGTTATATGTGTTTTTATAGTAGATGGAACCCACTGAATCTGGCCAACAGCCCATGGAAAACAGACAATGCAGAGACCTGAAAGTTCAGTGCCCTGCCACAGTGGGAGGACCATCATCCCCCACCTCTCACCCCCTCCAAGGCTCAGGGACTTTTGCAGAAGAGGTTGGTGGAATGAATGTAAGAGCCAGAAGAAGGGGTGGAGTGTTAACTGGAAATGTCCTCCGACCACTATGGTGGCAAGCTGTAGTCACACCCCCTTTCCATGCTCCTCAAGGATTCGAGGGTGGAGTCGGTTACTCCTTCCACCCAATCTGTTGACCTTAGCTTCATGGGGTGTGGGCAAAGGATATTTAAGCAGAGAACACCAAGAGGCACCTCTCTCACCATTTTGTGCGGCTGCCGGGAGGTCACAGGATCTGTATTTGAGTGTGGACTTTACAGTGCAGCCATAAATGTGAGGCTGAGACATGAAAACCACACTGGCCTTGAACTGCACATGTAGCTGAGGATGACCTTGCACCCCTGACCCTCCTAACTCCATTTCCCAAGTGCTGGGATTACAGTGTATACCACCATTCCTGGTTGGTACAGTGCTGGGAATTGAACCTAGGGCTTCATGCATGCCAAGTAGTTACTGAGCTGCATCCCCGGACCGTGTGTGTGTGTGTTGTTTGTTTGAGATGGGGTGTTGCTGTAGCCCAGGCTGGTTTCAAATTCAGTATCTTCCTGCTTCAGTCTCCAGAGTGCTGAGATTACAGGCATAAGCCACTATACCATGTTTAATTTTTTTAAATATTTATTCTTATTTTTACGTGTGTGTGTGTGTGTATTCCACATGTGTGCAATGTGTACAAGGAGGCCAGAAGAGGGTATCAGCTCTCCTGAAGCTGAAGTTACAAGGGGTTGTAAGCCACCTGATGTGGGTTCTAGGAACCAAATATAAGTCCTCTGCAAGAGTAGCAAATTCTTAACTGCTGAGCCATCTCTCCAGCCCAATGTACATATAAAACAGAATTACATCAGCTTTTTTATCATTTTTTTTATTTTTTAATAACTAATGATTAGAAGAAGCATTTCATTACAGCATTAACATATTCAGTAACACACTCCAGAGCAACAGTTCATCTCTTTCACAAGTGGGTACAAGTTTCTAGGTTCACAGTTGAATTAATACAGTTATACAATATTGAACTCAGTATAAGCCCTGTAAGACATAAAATTGAATGAGTTTTTAACCTTTAAAAAAGATCTCCATTTCATTTTAGAATATATTGTTCCTTGCAGAAAGACTCATTGTTTTTACTACTAACAGAAAGTGAGATGTTGGCACATGCATCTCTAATCTGTATGTACCTATTACTAGTCATAATTGGTTGCACTTGG